CAGCAGCAGATACCCTCGCCTTGTTTATCCCGCCTTTCGAGACGATTACAGGGGTAAGGCTGCTTGGCAGAGCCCAGCTTTGGAGGGCCGCAGGTGAGAGTTAGATACCCGTAAGGGCCTTCAGAAGCGATCGCCAATTGCACAGACAAGTAGATCGACCTAATGTTAACTAGACACCCCGTTTCCACATACGAATATATTAAAAGTATCTACTTGGCCTATCCACTCGATTCCTCTTTGTCCATCAGATATTTTGTGGTCCAATGGTCACATTGTAGTGCGCTTCTAACCAGCATGTACACTGTTACTTTTTTCTTTACTCACCTTTTTCACCACTGTCCCCATCGTTTGTAGTCATCCGGTCGTTTGATGTAAACAAACCCGGTTGTGAGGTCGATGCTCTACGCGGCGGTGTTGCCGGTGGTAGTGTACTTCGCGGTGTTCTGAAGGTATGTTCCGCATATTTTCTATGCTTTCACCGCTTTTAATTGAGTCGCTCGACTATTGCCAGTCCATATTGCATTATCCATTTAGAAGTACTCAAGGATGTATGTTTGAAGGAAAACGATTTTTGAGAAATATCACTAAGGCCGTGCGCCTATCAATTTATAGAAATGTCTGCTTAAGTTAGTGCCGTATGTGTAAATGATAGTTCCAGAAGAATTCAACAGATCAGATATACTGTTATGCAAATCAGTGGGAACAGGAGATTGCACGAGTTCTTCCAGTAGAAGACATTGGGCCTGGCTAGCACGAAAGACTGCCTAATTGGCGATTTATGATTGTACTCTTATATTCCGTTTGAATAACCAAATATTAGGCTCCCGTGCAGATGTAAGAGTGCAATACGCCTTTAGTCATTAATTTATTTATGACTACTGTCTTCCTCTGGATGTAGAAACTGTTATCTGAGTCTGTTCGCCATACTTTTCATTCTTAAATACCCAGTGTTTTTCCGTCAATAAAATCAGTAGGCTTATAAATCTCTGTCGAAACGTGTTTACTCCTCGCGCCAAAAAACGGACGTAATCATCTGCTAACTGAGTATCGCTCCTCCTGAAATAAGCTCCCCCCTCGCCCCTCATGCGTAAATTGTATTGTCTACCTGAACCTTTAACGTGTCCCACCAGCATACGCGCGACAAAGCTACACCCCTCCTAGTGCATGACGGTATAATTCCACGACATTACTCGACCTTGTTTGCACTGCGAGGCCATTTCTATTCAATTCTGCGTGTAGGTATATCCGGGTAACTGCAGTGCATCCGAGTGCACTCACCACCGCCATCTCAATCATGCCCTTATGTGATTGTGAACATCCGCGTGCCTACCCTTGTCTCAGGCTGACCAAGCTACCTTCTGATTGACTTACTGTCTTCTTTTTCTCCCTCTAGGTTGGTCAGGAAATCGAAATTCGTCCTGGTCTTGTGTCTAAGGACGAAGGCGGTCGCGTGACTTGTCGACCCATTCGTTCCTGCATCCTCTCGCTTTTTGCTGAGCAGAATGACCTCGCCTACGCCGTGCCCGGCGGTCTGATTGGCGTTGGTACGAAAGTTGATCCGCAGCTGTTTCGGGCTGATCGTTTGGTGGGGCACGTGGTCGGGGCTGTTGGCACTCTGCCAGACATCTACGTGGAGTTGGAGATATCCTTCTTCCTGCTGCGTCGCCTTTTGGGTGTCCGAACTGAGGGTGACCGCAAGGGAGCCAAGGTTCGTCTTCTTTCCTTATCGATGATATCTCGGCTTCTGCCACTGCACTATGCCGTCACTTAAATGTCTTTTGTAGCCACAGTCAGCTCTTACAGTGTATATATTTTTAAACTATGTTAGCTATCATAACTAGGCGGGGATATTAACCGTTTACTGATCCTCGCTGACAATTTTGCTGCTTTTTGATAATTTAGGTGCAAAAGTTAGCAAAACACGAAGTTCTCATGGTGAACATCGGGTCTCTGTCCAGCGGTGGTCACGTGGTCGCTGTGAAAGGCGATTTAGCCAAAATTGCCCTCAACAGTCCTGTCTGCACCGAGGTCGGCGAGAAGTTGGCCCTCAGTCGACGTGTTGAACGCCACTGGCGGTACGTTCCTTCCCGCGTCTGATTATCTCATAAGTGCAGTCGTGTCCGACTATTCTTGACATCATGCTGTCCTCCACGCTATACTTGTTTTCTCTTCTTCAGGGAGTTTAATCACATCCCGATAATGTTTTTCACTACTGGCAGACACCCAGGGCTTTGCTAAAGGATGGGGAAATATCCCAGCCTTAAGTGATGCATGATGTGTTAGTGAGAATAAATTGAGATTGTACATAGGCTTTTGCCCACCGTACGAACGTCTGCATTCCTCGGTGTAATAGTTTATTCCATTTCAGTTAATTTCTCATTTTTTGGGCCTCCCAAAAAGTACTCTAGTTTGCCGCCATGCAGGTTCAGAACCCTCTTCTTTCGGAAACTTTACAACGACTTATTGGACAGCAATCCCTCGAAAGTGCCAATGACCTTTGTTTTACGTGTGTGTGGCAAACTTCCTCCCCTGTAAACTTGCCTGACCTCGGGTGATTTTTTTAACAGAAGACCAGAGCCTAGCTCATTCGAAAACTCGCAAGTCACCTACCCCAGCCTTAGTTCCTTATTCCCCTCAGATTTTTCCCAATGCTGGGCCTCTTTCCTACTTTGTTACTTGCACTTGTGTGTATGCATTAGTGCATTGGGCAGTATACATCCATAAAGGACACCACACATGAGAACGGGGGGCGGTGTAGCAGCAGGCCTAGGCGCAGTCTCAAGCCGCGTCAGCCCCTCGTGCTTGATCCCGCCTCCGGTTTTCCTGACTTCGTCATGACACGGGACCGAGGAGGGGAAGGGAGTGGTGCGGCAGATGCTTCGCAAGTCTTCTATCACCATAAACTAAATCACACACAGAAGTCACCGTCCCTGCGCCCACTAGGGCACACGCTGG